TGTTGGTGGATACATTTTGATTTTTACAAACTGCTCTTAGGTGCTGAGTCATTTGCGTCATGGATACTTGTTTTGCCCTCATAAGATTTCCTACAAGGACAAATAATCATAGATCTCTAGATGAACATCCCTGGAAAATCTTTACACATCAAGTCAGCTATCTGACAATATAAAGTAAGCCCTGCTTTTATTTCCCACAAACCAAACATTACTTTCATCTGTTAATCAAACGTTCTTACTTTGGATGTGAGTACGTTTCCGATGTATACAGTAAAACGGGACAGGAGGGAAAAAAAGCATATCAGCACTGAAAATATCCTTCGCTTGCGACCTCAGTTATATATTACATATGACTGAATGAATTACTGTACTTGTGCTTGCAGCGGGATGCCGATTGGTCTACCAAATGGTCCTGAGAGTCATTGCCTTTTTTCACACCTTGGCTCAGGTGATGTCTCAGATGATAAATAACAGGTCAACAACCCTCAAGTCCAGTCCCAAGGGGGACAAGGGGACTTGTGTGTTGGTCCATATTCAATAAATCTGAATTTGTCATGGGGAAATACAACAGTTGGGGTTTAGAAGAACCACAATACTGTGAAATCAGTCTGTGTTTGGCTGCATGTGTATGGATGTGAGTCTCCTGTGTTACGTGGTATGACATACAATAAAAGTAATACAGTAACAGCCCAGGTCTGAGTGTCAATACTGTATGTGTGTTAAAGAATAAAAAGCTTCAAATTACAGCATTGATTGTTTAAATAATGCTTATTGATACTCAGTGGCCATAAAGAAGGGCTCGACCCAACCCTCTTTCATCCTGTCACTCGTATCAATGAGTGCTAAAGATAGGGAGCAAAATAAGCTCTTAGCTTTTCTAATCTCTTGACACAAATGTAATGTGAGCACATGTGACTGACCAGGTTAGACGTCTATAGTGAGCCTTCAGGCTGACACAGACACTTTGATAATAACAGGGTCACCTGTGTGGTTTCCTGCTCTCCTCACTATGAAACACTCTCACATTGTCTGTGGTTCATTTTTCACTCTGGTTATGGTCTATATAACTAAGCAGGTGTTGACGCGTCAACAATAATTCAGTTACTGAGTGACGGTCATACTGGCTGGATTAATGCCGTCGCTCAGCTGGTCAGTAGCAGAATTCTTAGGAAACTAATCTGACAGAGGTTGAATGATATTCTGATGCTGTGCAGTGGACTGAACTTTAAAACATTTTTCTTACTGTTTCACTTGTTTTAAGCTCCCCGTCAGTAGATGATTGAAAAATCAGTTTCTCAGGTCACTCTCTATCGCACTGGGATATAGAGCATTGCCTATGGCCAATCACAAACCACAAGACCCACAGAGCCTTTGAGACAGTCAGGCACAATGTGACCTCTGTAGCCCATAACAATATCAAACATCAGTTTCAAAAAAAGAAAGAAAAACCCCACCCTCGTGTCTCAAAAATGTGGAATGTTGCCACTTAAGCTAGTTGTTTTATGAGCCTTTTGCCAACACACACACACACACACACACACACACACACACACACACACACACACACGCTAATGATGGGTGTAATATCATTGGTATTCACTGCCCTCTAGTGGTGAAATTGAGGATCCCATTTAAATCCTGTGATACTTCTGCTAAATACTTTTACATGACATTTACCAGAATACATAATCATGATCAATATTTGTTCAAAACTCGCTCTATCTCTTTTTCTGCTGTCTTTCTTTCTTTCTTTCTTTCTTTCTTTCTTTCTGTCTCTCTCTCTCGCCGTCACTCCTAAACTACCAAATGTCATGTTGCCATATCATTTTTTGATTGGTCGACATGGTGCATTTTTCCACCAACACAAACGGGCAGTTATTTGTTTTATTTTTTGGGGGTCATAAGCAGAGTGCTTGCTAGCGCTGTCCTTAGACAGTAAACCTACGAAACTATTGAGGAGAAAACACGCCTAC